ACTGATATCTGATATGATATGAATTAACTCAACTACTTCCACTCTTATTCCTTACAGTGTTTCACTGGTAAAAATTCATTGAAAAAAATTTCATTGATAAAAGATAAAATCATCAGACTTCTGATAATATATTTTTTTTTTTTTTGCTTATCATTACACTCCCAATGATAAACTTTTATTTTTGCCAAATATTTAGCAATACATTTTGATTTTTATCAAACTTTCAATGACAAATCACTCTTAACATTATGATTTAATTTGCATAAAAGTTTTGATAACAAATTTTGATTTGTTATATTTAATATTTCATTACGTATATTTAAACGCCTAACTTTATTTGACGCAAATATGTTTTTTTTTTTTTTCTTTTACTCATCGTATTTCATTATTCAACGAATTCGTTGTGCACAATGTAAATAATTAATAATTATTTCATTGCACTACAATAACTTTTGTTGTTTAGTATTTGTCAAATAAAATTTTGTTTACAAAATTAATTAAATCACAAATTCCTAGCAAAATGAATGCACAGTTAATTTTGTATGATCAACAAATATGGTTTTTTTTTTTTTTTGGAAGTGATTGATATTAAGATGGTAACTATCAGAAGATAGAAAACCGTGCATCGTACAATAAAAGAGGATGACCTTGACCTATAACCCTAGTATTATGGGTTAATCACGCAGGAATTACGGCTGATCTGTAGAAAAGAAGTTTTCAGTCAATAAAAGTTGTACTTACTTAGCATATTTCTTCCCGAGAAACTTTTCCTGAAACGCATACTTCAAAAATTTCATGATTATAAATTCCTAAATTACCTCACATTATCTTGCGATTATAAATTCTTGAATTATCTATTACCTTCCTATCCAACTAAATTCCTTTACTAAATGAACCTTTCGCATCACCTTTAAAAGACTTCTCAACTCTCAATCGAGACATCCTTTCCACTCAGTCCTTGTAAAATATAAATTTAGAACATTTGATCCGAAGGAGTTTCATACTGGCCGTTTGACATGAGCCGCACTATTTGCACACGTATTTAGGCCTTTGTTAGGTACTGCGTGGCGCTATTTCTATCTTTTGGGATGTGTGTTGGTGGATTTCACGTGTGCTAAGCGTATTCTTTGCGTGACTTACATCCTTGAGGTGTGAGGTTGAAATCTTCACTCTCGTTTTCACCCGCATTATTTAATTTCAATTACATTCATGTATTAAGTTTTGAAGTATAATGACTGCATAGTAGTCATTCATTCATAGCTAAATGTAGTTATTTTTTCTCCTACTCTGACTTTCATTTTATTCATAGCTAAATGTAGTTATTTTTTCTCCTACTCTGACTTTCATTTTGTACGTTATGTCTCTTGTTTGTACTATCGAAAGAAATATAACTGGCATTATGTTTATGAGTTTATGATTATCATTATTAAGGGAGGAATTTTTGGGAAGTTCATTTTTGCTTGGTAAAGCAGATTTGTCGAGGAAAAGATGCCGGAAGGTTCATCGAAGATTGTTGTGCCGGAAGGAAAAGTGCCGGATGAATTGGAAAAGCAAGTATCAAATGCGATCGCCGATTTAGAAAGTAATTCTGATATTCGGGCTCAGCTACGTGAACTTTATATTGTCGGTGCTAAGGTATAGTAATTATGATAATAATAGAAATTATAACATTATAGAGATTCAGGACTGTGTTGTCGAATTTGTAATGCGCAATAACTTTAAACTATTTTTTTTTCCTTTGTTATGTCTGATTTTTATCTTTCTTTTAAGCGTTGCCTTTTTCATATCTCTTCTGTTAGTTTTTCAGGAAGTCGATGTGCCAAATGCAAATAACAAAAAGAGTATCATTGTCTATGTACCCGTACCACAATTACGACAATTTCAAAAAATTCAACCTCGCCTTGTGCGTGAGTTGGAAAAGAAATTTAGTGGCAAGCATGTAGTATTTATTGCAAGGGTAAGGAATGTTTCATCATTTCCTGAATTATCACATAATTCGTATGATAAGTTCAAGCACAAACTGGTGAAAATAGATATGGATAGGTGAATCCTTGCTTTACAGAATTTAAAAACCTGAAAAAAGACCTGTTGTCGTCATTCTTAATATTAATTTCAGCGGCGTATATTACCAAAGCCTAAGCGCGGTAAGAATAGGAAACCACAGAAACAGAAGCGTCCACGTTCACGTACGCTAACTGCTGTTCATGATGCAATGCTTGCTGACTTGGTATATCCAGCTGAAGTTGTTGGACGAAGGATCAGAGTGAAATTAGACGGAAAGCGTATCATGAAAGTGCACCTTGATAAGACTCAGCAAACGAACGTAGAACATAAGGTAAGCACAATTGAATTTACAGTGGATGCTTTGTCCGAATAGGTATATGCAAAAGATTATTGATGGAATAGTTGTATTCATTGTAGAAATTTGGTTGTATTTATGGTAGATAGTTGTATTCATGGTAGAAATTTGGTTGTATTTATGGTAGTTGTATTCATGGTAGAAATTTGGCCTAACTGCTTACGTTTTGTCCTCTTTGCTTCTGCTATTTCTCATTTTATTGATTTAACCGAACTGTAGAGACAAATTTTAGAAAGGGCATGTAGTGTGACCTTCTAAACATGTTTCTCTCTCTGTTCATTTATATGATTGCTGAATGTTGCATTGATCATAATATCTTATGATGTATGCACATGTTTGTATTCTGCAATAGTTGCAAGAATTTGTCGGTAAAATGTTAGTTCTTCCTTCCAAATATGGGTTTGTTCCTGTGGAAGATATTTTCTTCGTTCATCGATAAACTGAGACAAAGCAAAGCTAACTAGCTATGGATTACGCTATGTTTAAAAAGATTTCTTTAGATTCATGAATAATTACTGATTTATGGCAGTTCACGTGACGGCAAATATATACTGGTTTGTGGTAGGGTTACATGCGAAATATTAGAAGGTCAGCAACACTGCGCTGGATGAATAAATTCATTTTGCTCATTTCAGGTGGACACATTTTCGGCAATCTACAAACATTTGACCGGAAAAGATATTGCTTTCGAGTTCCCTGAACCTCTTTTCTGAAAGGATTATTTTTTGATTGGTTTTTGTTATGTTTTGTTGATAAATGTATGGTTAAATTAGTGAAGATTTGCTGTACAATCGACATGAATGAAAATCCACTGAATAAAGTTTTCCTTTCGGCAGGGTGACTCATCCGTGTTGCACTTTGTCGAATGTTGATGACTGCAAGTAGTAATCTTACACTGGGTGAAAGTGGGTGTGGAGTACATAACTGGTTACTACAATAATATACCAATCGCGAATTCTTTTAAAAATAAATTAAATTCATCTATCTCTTCCAAGCATCATTTTTATTTTCCAATAAATTCAGCAAAATTACCTGATTGATTATCGCAAAATTTATCGAATTATTGGAATTAGCTCATACGCTACCATTTGTTGTTCAAATGTTGACATCAATTTTTATTTGGTGTTCACCCGAATTAGGACAAAATTTTCTTCAAGTGCGCGCATCTTACAAAATCTGACATTTGAAATGATTTGATTTGTAGGAAGTGATTTTTAATCAGTTTTATGAGCAATGATGCGATGAGCGTTAGTGGGAAAATCAATAAAATGTGTTTTGATTGATTAAAAAAATCCCACATTCTATGTCTGACACAGCGTATCTGGGCACTATCACATTTCAACATTTATAGCGATGGTATATTTCCTTAAAAATAAGTCTTTTCATCTCGAAGCACTCATTTTGTGATTTGTGTTTTGATTTTAGGGTTGAAAGTTGCATTCGTTTTTTTATATTTATTATTATTATTATTATTATTATTATTATTATTATTTAAGATTTACATTCAGTGTAATATTTTCATATTAATTATATATTTAATACTTATTATTTGATGGATCATATAATTTCACGATTTGATAATTACACTCGTAATTATTCCTCTTTTAATACTAATAAAAAGACATTTTAATAGACGTAACATTTCTTTTCGGATTTGCTAGCAGTATACATAAATAAATTTGTATTGAAGAACTTAAAAAAAAAAAAAAAAACTAAAAGCATTGTTATTTACTCATTAGTTATCACCACATATCATTATGATCCTCGTAAATTGTTATTCATTATTATCATCACTGTTATTCGCTATCATCATCAATATCTTAAATCCTTATCATTATCATTGTCATCATCATCGTTATTATTTTTACTATTTACAATCACTATCTAACATTATTTTATTAAATTATCATTATTCATCGTCATTACCCATTAGTTATACATTTAAGATAATTAAACTAGATTAATTATTAATACATATTAATGATGTGTATATATATATGCATATATTTTATTTATGTGTAATATAATTAAGCTAAAATTAATTATAATCTTTATAAACATAATTACAATTATTAGGAATAATATTCTTGATAACTAACTTCATATCATACATGTGTGTTCAGACTAATGAATTTAATAATTTAAAAGTTGAAGATGATTGTCACAATTCAAAAAGATGAATTGAAATGATAATATCAGTATTTATCATTAATATTTGATAAACATTGGTATTTATGCATAAGACACTACAATTACACATAACATCTGTCTATCTATCTATCTATAGAAACATTTGGAGGCAGATATGAAATTTACAAAATGTTTGAAAACGGAAGGACAGGTTAGTGCTGACTGAAGGCGGAGCGGAGCGGAGCGGTTGAACAGCTACGGCGGTGCATTTTGCATTACATTTGCAGTTGAAGGAGGATGGATGGATGGATGGGATGTTATTGCCATCTTTGCTACTTTTCTCTTACTGTTATCATCGTATATCGTTGAAATATTTTGATTTGAAGAGGGAAACGGAAGTGAAATTGGATTGGATTAGAGAGAGATGCTGGAGAATAAATTTTAATTCTTAATTTACTGAATTTGTTTAATTTTCATTCAGTTGATTAGATGAATTTAAATTCAATGAAATATGGAAAATATTTGTAAGAAAGAAGAAAAGAAAAGGAAGGAGAAGGAATTATTAAACAAAGTAAAGCTTAATTATATATAATTAATTGATTCCTTATCGATTGATTGTTTTGCATTGAAATGAACTATTGGATCCGATTTGAATTTCAATTTACACCTAATAATTAATTTTACTTTGTTTTTCCTTCTTTTTTCTTTTTTTTTTTTTGTTCTTCTTTTTTGTTTTTATTTCATTGATTTTAATTTTTAATAAAAAATTTATTTTATATTCATGTTGCACTACAATAATAATAATAATAATAATAATGAATTAGTAAGGTGGATAATTGGAAATCTTAGAATTAAAACTCAAAATTTTTTTTTTCATTTTTTGAAATTTTCTTTTGCACTTTACTTTTAATAACTGTTTATTTTTTAATTTTGTTTTTATCCTCAGAAAGATTAATCAAATTATTAAATATCATCAAAGTTAATAAATTGTTAAGTACCATATCTATGAATTTGATTGTTTCTTTTTCTCTAAATCATTAATAGGTCTTTTTATTTATTAACATCTAATATTATAGTATAACCAAAATTAAAAATTATCAAATAACAAATATTATCAAATGTTTATCAGTAATTAATCAGATCAAATATTATCAAATTTAATAAATTATTAAATGCTATAATTTGTCAAACTGATTATCAAATGAAAAAATTATGGCTGTAATATTGATTGCATTTATATTATAAATTTAGTAATAAAACAATTTTTTTTTCCTAATTTTATTTTTCGAATTTCTCAAATAAACAATGTTTGTTGCAATTTGTTTTCAGTAATGCACAACTTTTGCATTCATTTTTAAAGTACCTTCCTAAACATTAATAAACTCAAAAACAATTTCAAAAATACTTTCACATCCAAAAAAAAAAAAAAAAACAGAAAAGAAATCAAAACACTTTAAAATAATAAGAAAAAAAATGAAATGGAAAAAAAAAATTTTCCGTATTGCATTCTCATTAATTGTTTAATACATTACGGTAAATTGTCACTTTTTTTTCGTTTCGTATTTATTTATTTATTTTTTTTATTTCAAATTAAAATATTTATTTTTTATTACAGAAAAATCTGCAATCAGTTATGCATTCAGTACTGCATGAGCTAACGAATGAAGAATTACGAATGATCGATGATTTACGAACAGTTATACCAGCACTTCAAACTGTTAATGATGGCTATATTGCAAGGTAAAATTTTCTTTTTTTGTTCATTTTTCATTTCATAAATAATTATTATGAAAATATAAGAATAATATATTTAATAAATTATCACTTTCTTGAATATTTCAAGATTTTCATCATTTTTTTGTAAATAATTTTATTAAAAATTAACTTTTTTTTATCTTTTTGTTTGTTTGTTTGTTTTTTTTTTTTTCATTTACTTTTCTTTTTTTCTTTTTTGTTTAATCGAAATTCAAATGATTGCATAAATTTGATCATACTGAATTTACTTTGCAAATATCCTAGCGATGGCATGCACATTTTTTAATAAAATATATTTTATATTGGTTTGCTTTATTGGTTAGCATGCACTTATGTATTATTTTTTCATTTACAATTCTTATTTTAATTTCAAAATTTTTAATTATAAAAAAAAACAGTGCGAAAGTTGCTTATTCGTGAAATATGTATAATACGAGGATTACAATATTTTTTTATCATTTTTAATTTAATTTTTTAAATATAATAATAATTAAATCCATTCAACCAATTACTTAAATAATTTCTTCGTGATATTTAATAATGGAATATTAAAATTCGTATATTACTTAATAATTTTTATAAAGGAAAGAAAATGTTCGCTTGGAATTTATTTCTCTTATTAAAACATATTATTAACATTCAAATTAATCAGTAATATTTTTTTAAAAAAAAAAAAAAAAAAAAAAAGAAAAATAACAAAACGAAATTGAAATATAAAAAAAAAGTATTATCAACTTATCATCAATGATATGATATTAAATTACTCATACATTAATTTCTACTCATACAGTAATAGTTATGCTATTTCATTTACAACATTTATTTGAATTAATTATTTTGAACATACAATTTCTTCTATTTTAGTGAGAAAATGACAGTAACTTTTAGTGATTGTCCTTGATAATATTTTAGGATAAATGTGGTGATATTTAAATATACTATGAAATTGAAATGTCAAAAAAAATAAATTTACTTTTTTGCAAGTGTTATCAATTTATCATTTGTGTCATATGAAAATATCATTGATAATATCCAAAAATAAATGCACCAATTTTCTTAAAATAATACTACTGATAATATTCCGAGACAAAATGTATTAATTTCTTGACAATTTTGGCATATTTTTCTCTTTCTTTCTTTCTTTCTTTCTTTCCTTCCTTCTTTTTACATCGATATCTGAGAGGGAATGGATGATACAAAATGATGACAGTCTGATGTGACAATTTTAAGTTATATTACATAGTTTCGAATTTTCTATTTTATCTTCGTAAACGGAACTGGAATCTAAGAGTAGTTTCCCTCTTTTTTTTTTCTCCCTCCCTTTTCTCTCTCTCTCTCTCTCTCTCTTTCATTCATTAATCAGATAAATGTGGCAATTGTGAAGGTAATAAAAACTATTTCTAGTTATCTTCATGTGATAATTTAACAAAATATGACACAAATTTTCTGTCATTAAATTTTTGATTTTGAATTTCTATCATTAAATTTTTTGAAAAAAAAAAAAAAAACACTTATTTTGGTTTAATTAAAAAAGGAACAAAAGAGAAAGATTGTCAAATATTATTACATTTTAATAGATTTATCAGTAATAAATTGATTTGAAACTATAAAATTATTGAAATTTATTCAAAATTTTCTATTCCTTTCTATTATTTATTAATATTATCATTCCTTATATTATCACTGATAATATTATCATTCGATTTTTTTACTTGTTCATTCATTTTGAGTTTTTTTTAAAAAAAAATGAATATATTATCAAAAAAAATAGACAATAAACAAATTTAAATTGTTTTTTTTTTTATTAAATAACAAAATTCTATTATAGTATTTGTCAAATTTATCAATTAATAATCTTACATGTAATTTTTTTAATTTTTTTCTTTTATTAGATATGGCACTTCTTTTTTTTTGCAACTTTATTATTAGAAAAATAAGTTTTTCATGATGTTTAGAAGAAATAATAAGTATTTGTACACAAAATTTCAATAATAAGTTTTCATCGAAAGAATAGAAAGTGAAAAAAGAAAGATGAAAAGTCGATAAGACAAAAGTTATTATAATTACTTATTTGTTTATCGATTACAAAAAAACAGGGAAACACGGGGCACAGGGAACGGAAGAGATAGTTGAAAGGAAAGAAAATAAGCATAATAATAATTTATATTTAATACGGAAATACGTGAAATCATGCAATGCTTACTTTGTTTACTTGTTTACTGTAAATATTGTATATTTCTATACATATTTAATTCTTAAGTTACATACCAGTTACTATTTTTTTTTCTTTAATTTCGTTTTTTTTTTTTTTTTTATTCAAGCAAATAAAGTCTTGATTAAAAAAGGAAAGTTTTTAAATGATGTTGTTTTTGTAATATAATTTTTGCTATTATTCTGTTCTGAACCATTTGTTCTGTAACCCTAGAAGAACTTTTTTAAAAAAAAAAAAAAAAAAATAATTTATTCTGAAGTATTTTATAGTTTTATTATCTCCTGAAATTTTATCATGAGTCATTTTTAGAAATTTAATATAATTTATTTTTTCTTCTTTTACGAGCAAATGTAGTCAAATTGATAAGACGAAAATGTATTGGTTTCTCGATCTTCCTTCCTATTTCAAAAAATAGAGGAATCACTTATTACAAATAAAAAGTTGAGAGCACAAAATCAATTATGTACTTTGTATAAAAAAAAAAAAAAAAAGAAAACTTACAAGTGCAAATATCATCCAGTCATTTATTTTCACTTTTAAATCGTATAAATTTTTTTTTTTTGAAAAACGCGAAAAAATTCTGTAAAATTTAAAATTCTCATTAAATCTTTTTTTTTCTTCTTTTGTAGGATAAGACTTTTCATTTTGAATTTTAGCTTAAGATTCAGATATCATTGATATAGAAATAAAAAAAAGAATACGGTAGTATATGGTAATATTATAAATGAAAACATATTAATAATTAGTTTTATGTTTGTAAAATCATCATAATATTTGCTATTAATCGACAATATTGCTGAAAAAACTGATGCAAATAACAATTTTTACATTTTCCATCTAGTATGGATACAGTACTACACCGATAGCATACTGTACCATGTTAATAACTGATTACGGTAACATTCTATATCATGCCAATGACTAATTTTATATTTGTAAATTTATTGTAATATTTTTCCTCTAATCGATAATATTGTCGAAACAGCAAATTTTCTACTTTTCAGACGCTGCTAATAATGATAATATTGATAAGAATGAACTGACACGAATTCATAAAAAAAAAAAAAAAAATTCAAGAAAAGGTCTTGCATGTAACATTTAAAAGTGCCTTTTCAATGTTATTTAAAAATTAATTTTTAAATGTTTCTGGAAATTGTTTTGTTGATGATTTGCAATTTAGCTATAATGAAATTAATGAAAAGTGAAAGTTCCTTTGACATGAAATTACCAAAACCAGTCTTTCTCTCATTCTTCTGTTAAAACTGTGACAACCAAAAAAAGTAATTTTACATGGCAATGAAAAAAAAAATAAAAAATTTTTTGAAAGCTGAAATGGTTGACTGATTTCTCCTCCTCTTTATTTTAGTTAATCTTAGTAAAAGAATAGAATTATCTTTAAGAATTAATTAGGTGATACTTTCTTTTCCCTCTTTTTCTCTCCTTATTCCTTCTCTTTCTTTTCTTTCTTTTATCCCTTGCGGCATTTTTGTTGTATCATTCAATCAATATGTTTGTTTGTTTGTTTGTTTTTTTTCACATTTATTAATTTCTTAGTCAAATAAAAAAAGAATTAAAAAAAAAAAATTAGGATGAAACGTCAAATTTGTATTAGTTTAATTTTCTTCTTTTTATTATCTTCAAAATAATTTTAAATAATTTTGCATTATTGTTGATCACACAATTTCTTAAAGCAAAAATATAATCAAATCACTTAAATAATTAAAAGGAATTTCTTTTTTATCCTTCTGTTACAAAACTCTTCAACTTCATACTTCAACTTTCAAATAATCCACAGAATTTTCAAACAATTTTATTTACTTTTAATTAATTAAGACAAATAAAGGAATAAATTAGTTATTCTGGAAATTTTCACAAAATAGTAAAATATTATATATTCCATACGAATTAGTGTTTTGATAAATCATATCATTCGAATATTTAAATTGTGTGATCCATTTATCAGAGAAAAAAATTCAATTAAATTGTGAAATTAATAAGTAATGCGATAGCTTAAATTCATTTTTTCCTTTTCTATTCATTCATTTGGTAAATTTTGAAATTTAATTAACCTTTTGCATACTTTGAATTCGGCATTATTGATTAATCTATTTGAAATGAAGGAATAAATACCAATTGTAAAATATAATTTGCAAAAATTTATTGCAATGCTTTTTTTTCTCAATTTATTATCCATGTAAAAAATTTGTATCAGTTCCTATTTTTAAAAATTCCTTTCCGCATAAAAGTATGTGTTGGATAGATTGCATTACCTTTCAAGGTGGTTACGTTCACGTGACGGACGTTTCGATGAAACCGCTGATGCATTGAAGAAACATGTGGTATTTCGAAAAGCGTGGGATCTCGATAATTTACCAAATTGGAAAGCACCCGAAGTACTACCAATTTTTTTGCTATTTTTTCTTGAAAAACACGAGTAGTAAAAGTGATAAGTATAAATATTACAAAATAAGTTTAAAAAAAAATATTTAATTTGAAATCTTACTTATTCGCTTCGTTAAAAATTCATTTTGATATCCAAGAAATTACATTCAGAATCGAAATCTATTTTAAACAATCAATACAAAATTTCATATAAAAATCAGTGAGAACTGATAAGAGTTGATAAGAGGAGTGGAGTAAAGTGAAGATAAGAAATTCAAAATGTAATTTTAATAATAATAAATTAATAGTAGAAATTAGAATGGTAATGAATGGTAATATCAATTATTTTTAAGACATTCATTTGATACAATTTTCTCTCTCTCCTTCTCTCTCTCTCTCTTTCTCTCTCCCTTTCTTCTCTTTTTTATTCATTTCAATTTTCTTTTTGCAGATTCTAGAAAAATACTGTGGTTATGGATTCTTATCAGATAAAGATGGTTTTCCAATACTTATGTCTTTATTGGGTAACATGGATGTTGAAGGTATTATTTTCACTCGTCTTTTTCAAAATTTAAAATTCAATTAATAACTCTTGATTCTAAATTTTAAATTTTAAATTCCGTATTATATATGATTGCATATGATCTTTACTAAATCATTAATATTATCTTCGGCAATGGTTTTTTTCTTTTTTTTTTTTTTGAGAATTAATGATGAAAGAAAAGATCGAAGATAGTTATCTACATTTGATCAATAAATTTATCATTTCATTTTATATTTTCTTTTTTCAAGGTCTTTCTTTTTTTTTTTTTTAAATTTTATTTATAGGAATGTTGAAATCAGTGCAATCCAGTGATTATATCAAATATTCTCTCGCTGCAATTGAACGGGGTATACGACTATGCAGCGATAAATCCAAAGAGGTCAACTATTGTAATTTGAAATTTAAGATTAAAATATGCTATGATTTCATTTCATTCTAAATAGATCAACTCAGCCGATCGATCGATCGATCAATCAATTAATCAGTCGATCAATCAATCAGTTAGTCAAATATTATCCTAACAAGTAGAATCATTTGGATATTTGAATGATTTAAAAAAAAAAAAAAAAAGTGTGAAAATTAAAAATCAAATAATTCATACTTTAAATTAGATTTTCTTGCATTCATCATTAATTTTGGTAACATTCATATTCTTAATTATTTCTATATTTTCAAATTATAATTTCGACAACTTATAAACATTTCTAAAGTTAGTTATAATTTGAGAGAAAAAAAAAAAAAAAAAGAAACAGAAGAAATTAATTGCAAAATCAAATTAGTGATTTCTTTTTTTAATTTATCAAATTTTTTTCTTACAGACCGGTCATGCATTTGAGCAAATGATGATTGTATTCGATTTGGATCATATCAGTAGTGCACATTATTCATGCAAAGCATTCGCTTCTTCCTTCACAACACTTATTTTACTCTTTCAAGAGCATTATCCATTGGTATTGAAAAAAATTCTTATCATTCGAGCACCTGAAATGGCTAGAGTTGCATTTAATACAATGACTGCATTTTTAAGCGATAAAATACAAGTAAATTTTAATTGAAATTTATTAATTAAAATTTATTAATCAAATATTGTTAATCAAATTGTAACAAAAAGAAAAAAGAAAAGAAAGAAAGAACAAAACAAAGGGCTTTATTTTATTATACTAATTTAGAATATTAAATGCAAATGTAAACTGCTTAATAACAATTAATGTTTAATAAATAATTCATTGATAATGTTAAAATAATATTACAGAATGGACTATGCTTCTTTTTTCCTAAACATAATTAAGAATTAAAATAATTTAAATTTACTTGAAAAAAAAAAGCAGTTCTAATTTTTCCATCAAATTTTTTTAATTTTTTACTACAATATGTTTTTTTTTTTTCCATGAACTAATCGAAATGCCTTCAATTGATGAATGGGAATTAGCACTAAAACAATATGTTGAATTGGATTCATGGCCTGTTCATTGGGGTGGTAAACTGTGCGAAAATGGTGATCCAAAATGTCCATCTAAAATACGGTACGGTCTTGGACCAATTCCTGATACGTATTACATTGATCCGGATGATGCGATGCCTGATTATGATCAACTTACAACTGTTTACGCCGGTGAAAAACATCTCATTGAGATTAAAGTTGAAGCGAATACAAGAATCAGGTTAACATTTTCAATGTTTAATTTTCAAATTGTATACGACATCTATTTGATAGGATATGGTAATAGTAATGAATATAATTAATAATAATAATAATAATAATAATAATAATAATAATAATAATAATAATAATAATAATAATAATAATAATAATAATAATAATAATAATAATAATAATGACGACAATAATGATGATAATAATAATTATTATTAATAATGATTAATAATAATAAAATAATAATCACAATAAAACAATAATAAATAATAACAACAAATAATAATAGTAATAATAGTGTCAATCTGTTAGTTTCTTCATTAGGGATATGGTTTGAGATGTGCGAAAATTGCCGTAAGGTATTCTGGGTAGCACTTTAAATTCAAAATGACCAATCAGTTAAGTATCAAGTTAGTAGAATATTTTAGATATATATGCTAGCATTTTAGGATGGTGGTTAGTTAAATCACTGGAACCAATGAAATAATACTATTCCTTTTCATTCACATCAATTTTTGAGATATTAACTTGCAAATAGTACCAACTAATTATGATATGTATTTCAGCTGGCAGTACATGACATCGGAGGAAGATATTGGTTTCGGTATACACTTCGATAAAACGTCCAAAGCAAACAATTTAATTGAAATGGAAACCGTTTTCCCATATATTAGGTTAGAGTGTTCACAAGTGCCCATATCTGGATCTATTCTATGTGAAAAAGCTGGAAGATGTAAGTCTTTTTTACTTTTGAAATTTTTTTGAAACATACAATGTCTAAAGCAAGTAATGATCAAAGAAATATCCTTCTTCACTCTGCAAATAAGTGTTAATTCTACTCTTCAACAAATGTGGAAAATAAATACTTGTAATTCACATATTTAATTACAGATATAATTGAATTCGACAATTATTATTCATGGTTCTCAGCAAAACAATTGCGTTACAACATCGAAATTGATCAGCTGTAGATGACAAAATAACGATTTGCACAGATTATACATATCTTTAAGTTCATGGTTCCTGTTCGTCATGCTGCTGTATATTTGTAAATTGTTACCTCGTCCATCTATATTACATTTTTGTAGATAAAAAATTCAAAGTTTGTCTTATGATACTTAGTCAAATCGGATAAAATAACTTGCTTCACGTTGCAACCACAAGAATTTGTTTTTTTCTTAATCTATAGGCCGAGAACAGACTTTTAAAATGTTTAGAAGCAATAAACACTTGCTGATTAGATCTCAATAGCATCTATAAGGAATATCTAATAACAACCTCAAATGTAGCTTCCAAGCTTCAGGAAACCATCATAATAATGATAAATTTGATTGGCATTAATAGCTAGCCATACAACAGTAAATAAGCTATGAGCACCTTTTAAGTTATTTTCTAAGAGCAATATTAATCTCATACTTGCAAAATATGGAGATCAAAAAATATCCCGGTGGAACTATAAGTATGATGTTGTCATCTATTTTAAAAGACAGCACTCATACAAATCCAGTGACCTTTCTGACTGCTATGTGACAATATTAGTCAAACTTCGGTTTATTTTCAAAACCTTAGAATTCCACCTAAAAAGCATTGAAATGTTTGGAGCGAATATGTTGCCCTCGTTCTTACTTATCATGTATGCAGCCAGATTTTACACTTCTGATAAAGCAATTTAAATTACAAAAAGGAGTCGATACAATTATCGACTTCACGGATTTAAGAAGTTACAAAAACGAGTCAGTATAGTTATTGACTTCAAGAATCTAAGAAGATACATTTTATTAGTGTTCACTAAAACACTAAACAAGATCACTACAAAAAATCGATTTAACAAGCATTTATCATCTACTTCTTCAATCCAGCTTTTTCATGTGCTAAAGCGAGGTCTTTGGGACAGCTATGCATTATCCCTGGTGCATGTGAGCAAATTTCTTTTATATGTTCATACGCATCGTAATTTCTGCAACAATAAGCAATTAGAACGTAGCAACTGAAATGATCTGAAATCTATGAACGAAAAAAATCCCAACCTTCAATGGTAATAACATCCAAGACAAAATCGATTCGATCTACGATCAATCCGACGTAGTGACTGCATAAAAATCTAGCAGTACGATAACTGATATAAAATTTTAAGCACTCCTTATTCCTTATTAGTTAAGCATTCCTGATTCATGCTTTAAGCAGTTACTCAGAAAAATGAACAACGTTAATCGAATTAAGCCTTACTTGAAAAACTCTTCCCATTTTTTTCGCCGCATGTTTTCATTTCTACGTAACATCATAAAAATAATTCCCGACACCGCAGTTGAGGCAACCACCGAAAAAGCGGTGAAACGCCATAACGGATAACGTAGAAATGGAGGTCCTCCAAACATTTCTGAAACATGAAATACAACATGTTAACATAACATGTTTAAAGAGGTAGGCAAGGACGACAAAAAAGTATAAAGTCTGTCAAGCATATAAGCCAACTTTTGTCATCACAGTTATACCTATGTCATATAGTGCTTACATATTTATTTAAAATATGAGTTTTTACCTATGCACAATGCGTTTTCGTGATTCCTCTAATATTAACCAATAACCAGATTATCAGTAGCTTAAAGACTGGCACGTAATTGCAATGTTATGAACGTTAGTAGCTTACTTACAGTCGTTCCGATTACCTTATAATAGACCGACACATGTCATCTAAGTAAAAGTACCAAACAAACACAACCAGCATTCATAAACATCATTTCTCTCTTTTTTTGAACCCAAAAATCAGAGTTTATATAATCCTGAACATAAGTATTAACTTCTAATTGAAAACAACAAATGTTAGCATTTATTCGAAACCAATTTAACTGTCCGATGAAAATATCGGAATCAAAAGACTTTACGTGAAAGAAAACATCAAATTCATGAGATATCTTCCAGATGAAAATATCGAACCCACCAAATTTTACATAAGCAAAAACACCGAATCTACCAGATCACACCTCGATGAAAACACCAGAAACACCAGATGGATATGCCAACAAACCTTAAGCTAAAGGAATGAAAAAGTGAATGATAGTGATGAGAGAATAGATATTACAGATTGCAATGATAGAATGCGGTTAATTGATAGACTAAGATACCAGAGTGAGAGAAAAAGAGTGTGAAGCAGACGACATGATGAAGCCATGATGGAAAAGCGGGAAATATGATTGCTTCGTTTGCCTTAGACGTGATGGTGACCTTTCGATTCCTGCTTTCTCCTTTTCCTTTTTTTTGGCATTTAATTTCTTTTATTAATGCGCACGTACAAACGTGAAAGTTACACGAAACTCCCGTCGTTTTTCACGTCAATTACGTGATTACGTAATTTTGCAGATAATTCTGTATATTTGTGAATTTCTGTTGTGTATTTGTTGACATGCGAAAAGTTTCATAATTTTAGCTAATACACACAACTAGTGCTAACGAGATATTGTTTTGAGAGGAATTAAAAATTTTTAGGGAAATATTTGTGAGTATTTTAAAAGTATAAGTTTAAAAAAACTAATTCTATCAGTCGTGTGTATGAACTATTTGCTTGCTATTCGGATATTAATTTTTCCTTGTTAATTATGCATTTTAAATTTGAAAAAACTAGTATTTTATCTTTCAGATTTTAGCAATAAAATCAAATGTTATACAGTGACGAAAAATTCGTATGGACAGACGCATTACGTCTGATGCTTATTAAAGAAGTAAAACGACGTCCAATAATTTGGTCATCTAGTTCGAATAATTTCAATAATATGAATGACAAAATAGCGTATCAGATCACTAAAAAATTGCATGAAGTATCAACTGGTATTTGTAGATTAACAGGTAAGATGAATTAATAGAATTTTGAAAAATTCTTGCTACAGATTCATAAATCCGTTTTTTTTCCTGTTTTCTATTCCTTCTTTTCTTGTTAGTCCTTTTTTTTAGTGATATTACTAAGCAATTATAAAACACAGCATGTGTGACATGGCATAATTGTGGTATTAATTAGGTGTAGATTTGCTAGATTTAGATATTATGATGGATATACTAAGGTTTTTTTCTAAGAGTTTTAATACTCTCTTTTCTAGTAAATCATATAAAAAACGAATGGAAGTGCATTAGTAATGAATGTATCCGAGTTTTGAATAGAAACGATGAATTTATACAAACAGATGCATCGATTTGGCGTTTCGGTTATGTGCTGAAATTTATGCTCCACGCTATAACGGGTACAGAAGAGGGGTACGTGGATTTGTTTGAACTAATTTTTTATTCTTTATTCCTAAGATATATCATATATCACTTGTTTCACCCTACAGACTATTTTTTTTTTGTATTGGGCATTGCTTAACATCGTAGTGCTTTCCAGTCATGACGTATATGATGCAAATTTGCACAGTTACATTCTGATCTATATATCATAGATCAGAATGTATTTTCAGAATTAGTGACAACTGGGAAGTTGTAATAATTTTTTTTCAGGAATGCTTGTGCCTTAATATACCTTAATAAGTTGAATATTTTCTGCATAGTCCGTGAGAGCGATATTATAGGAGTGCTTTGGCCTTTTTCCAATGTAAATATTCGATTGAGTGGAAAAATTGAGAAAGCTGTTATAATCGAAGTGGGTCAACATCGTGTTATAGTCGAGAAATGTAAACACCAATCATTCCCAAAAAATTTATATATGATTCCGAATGACATGGTAAGTTTTTACTTCTTGTTTTTTGGAATAATGTACATTTTTGGATGGAAAATATGAGCTCTAAATATCTTGGACGGCAATTTGATAAAAACCAGATCCTTCAGATTTCCGGAATCAGATGTTACACTTTGAGATTTCGGGATTTCTTTGGTATTGGTTTATTCTGCAGTCAAATGGTCATCTGAACTAAACGAACGGTTTTAATGCAGTTACTCTATTTCAGCTTACCGAAATACATATGTTATCTCGTAAACTTGAAATTCAGCCAATGTGTCACACTGGTTCTCTTATGAGAAGGGTAAATTTTGTCGTATCTTTCAGTTGGAAAAAACTCTCTAGCATGTTTTGTTCCTAATTTGAAATTTAGTCATAATTCATGAATTATGAATCTTTGCATTTAATCCAGTTTAAATCAAAAAGATGAAATCTCACTAGTTAAAATCAAAATATAGTGCTTTTTGACTAATAATATTTGACTTCATCTTAATAAGATTAGGCGTAATTTTTTTCTTGTGACATTATACATGCTTCTAGGATGATGAGGTAGTCTACTATGATAGCACAGCCTACTCCGATAGAGAAAATTCTGTAAAAAATGCACCCATGTCGTTGCGTATACCAGATGTTGGAGAAAGCAAACCATTCTCAGCATTCCAATTGTTAATTCAGAACCAAACTTTTTCGAAACGACCTTTATTTTGCGGCATCTCTTCCTCAGCATTAGCTCATGTTGATTCTGAGTTACACAAAAAGCGTGCGCTGTATCTTCTGCAGTCCGAGTCATCCAGTCGTAGTCGACCTACTTCGCAACGTCCTGCCATAGCTTCATTTACTGAAAGTCATCATGACACTAATTCAACTTTTCCAGTTGGATTTTCTCGAACTCCAACTAGAGTCACAAAACTGATAGAATATTTGAATTATAACTGGGGCCGTTTATGTCGACGTCTGGATAATATTCGTTGTGAAGCGGATGGATTGAGATCTATGGTTGTTATTGCTAAAAGAGATATTGACAACCAATTGAAAACAATATCGTTGAGTGCTTCAAGGCCTCACATACCTACTGTGGTTCCAGCGTGCGGTTCTGCTGCTGAAAAAGGTAATCTGAGAAAGGAATTTTTTGAAGGTATAAAAATGAGTTTACCTGGAATTTCTCTAGTTTTAGTGTCAGTTTATTTGATGCTCTCCTGTTTGAGACTTTCCTAAATTAGACTGTTTTGTAGAAATGAAAGCAGTCTTGGTGCAAACGGATAAAGTTTTTAA